CCCGGCCTCAGTCCCAGGACCGAGACTGGGACCCACCGGGCGGGCTTTAGGACCCGGCCCCGGCCTCAGCCCCAGCCTCAGACGGGCTTTAGGACCCGGCCCCGGCCTCAGTCCCAGTCTCGGGCGGCTTTAGGACCCGGGATCGGCCCCGCGGGGCCGAGCGGGCTTTAGGACCCCCCGGACCCGCCCGCGCCGAGCCCGGAGCCGGAGCCGATCCCGGATCAGAGCGGTGGGTGTCACCTCAGGAAATAAAAGGGATTTTGATCGAAGAAAAGTTGGGTTTTTTTCCCCTCACAAAAGGGAGGTTTTCCTCTGGAAAAGGGGTATTTGCCTCAGGGAGGAGGGGGTGTGTGGTTTCCTCAGGTTTGCCCTCAGGAAAAGGGATGTTCATCTCTAAATAAAGTTTTTGCTATAAAAAAAGTGTTTTCGGTCAAATAAGCAAATCGTGTTTCCTTAAAAAAAAAAAAAAGGGAGGGGGGGAAGGAGGGAATTTCCCTCAAAAAAGGCGAATTTTACCTCAGGGAGGGTTCTTCAGAAAAAGGAGGGATTTACCTCAAAAAGAGGGGTTTTGCCTCTGGAAAAGGGATATTTGTCTTGGAGGGGAAATATCATCAAAAAATGATATTTTTTTCCTCACGAAAAGGGATATTTACCTCAAACAATTACGTGTTTTCATCTAGAAAAAGGATTTGCCTCAAAGATGGGAGGTGGTGCTCAAAGGAAGGTTTCTACATGGAAAGGGTATGTTTATCTCAAAAAAGAAAAAAAAAAGGAGGATTTTCCTCAAAAAAGCAAGTTTTTATTAAAAAAAAAAAAAGGAGGGGGTTTCCCTCTAAGAAGGAAAAATTTTAAAAGTGGGAAAAAGGGTTTTCTTTAAAAAAACAAAAAAGGTGGTTTTTTTTTCAAAAAAAGAGTTTTTTTTCCCTGGAAAAGGAATATTTCACCTCGGGGGGTAGAAATGTCCTCAAAAAAAGGTTTTACCTCAGGAAATGGGACATTTCCTAAGAAAAGAAGGAGGTTTCCCCTCAAAAAAAGGGGATTTTTGCCTCAAAATAGGCGAGTTTTACCTCAGGAAAAGGGACATTTACCCCCTGGGGAGGGGGGTTGTTCTCAAGAAAGAACACAATTATCCCTGGAAAAGGGATAATCACCTCAAAAAAAAGGGTTTATCTTTAAAAAAAAACCCAGACGGTTTTGAGTAAAAAAAAAGGGGGAGGAGTGGGAAATTTTCCTTAGGAAAAGGGAGATTTACCTCATAAAAAGGCTTCTCAAAAAAAAGTTTTTCCTCCAAATGAAGGTTTTATCCCCCAAAAAAGAGGTTTTTCCCTCAAAAATAAAGGAGTTTTACCTCAGGGAGGGGGAAGATTCCTCATAAAAGGATGATTACTTGTGCAAAAAGGGATCTTAACTCCACGGAGGGAGGTTTTACATCAGGAAAAAGGATATTTTTTTACCTCAGGAAAGGTAAATTTTGCCTTACAAAGGGGAGTTTTACCTCAGGAAAGAGAAATTTTCACCTCAGGGAGGAGGATTTTACCTCAGAAAAGGGTTTTTTACCTCAGAAAATATGAATTTTACCTCAGAGAAGAGGGTTTTACCTCATGAAAGAGCATTACCCACTTCAGGAAAGAGATGTTTTACCTCGGGGGGAAGCTTTTACCTCAGAAAAGTGGATTCTTACCTCAGGAAAGGTAAATTTTACCTCACAGAAAAGGGTTTTACCTCAGGAAAAAGCATTTCTCCCCTCGGGGGGGGGTTTACCTCAGAAAAGGTTTTTCTTCCCTCAGAAAAGCGGATTTTTACCACAGGAAAGAGGTGTTTTACCCCAGGGGGAAAGGTTTTTACCTAAGAAAAGTGGATTTTTACCTCAGGAAAGAGGTGTTTTACCCCAGAGGGAAAGGTTTTAAGGTTTTACCCCAAAAAAGTGGATTTTTACCTCAGGAAAGGGGTGTTTTAGCTCAGGGGGAAGTTTTTACCTTAGGAAAGTGGATTTTTACCTCAGGAAAGTGGATTTTTAGCTCAGGAAAGAGGTGTTTTACCTCAGGGGGAAAGTTTTAAGGTTTTACTGCAGGAAAGTGGATTTTTACCTCAGGAAAGGAGTATTTTACCTCGGGGGGAAGGTTTTACCTCAGAAAAGTGGATTTTTACCTCAAGAAAGAGGTGTTTTACCTCAGGGAGAAAGTTTTAAGGTTTTACCTCAGAAAAGTGGATTTTTACCTCAGGAAAGGGGTGTTTTACCCCGGGGGAAAGGTTTTAAGGTTTTACTGCAGGAAAGTGGATTTTTACCTCAGAAAAGGGGTGTTTTGCCTTGGGGGGAAGGTTTTACCTCAGAAAAGTGGATTTTTACCTCAGGAAAGAGGTGTTTTACCCCAGGGGGGAAGGGTTTTAAGGTTTTACCTCAGGAGAGTGGATTTTTCCCTCAGGAAAGTCCGATTTCTCCTCACAGAAGAAGTTTTTCCCTCACGAAAGCGCTTTTTTCCCCTCCCGGAAGTGGTTTTTCCCTCAGGGCAGCGGGAGGGACCCGCCCCTGAACCCCCCTTCCCCCGGAGTTTGGGACCCCCCCCAATAAACCTCGACCCCCTTTAACCTCCAAAGTTTAATAATAATAAAAAAAATCATAATACAATAAAATAAGGCCCCCCCGCCCCCGCCCCGCTACAAAGAGCCCCAGACCTGTTAGTGTCAGCGAGGGGGGGG